GAAAGGAAAATAACCAGCCCAGGGTGAATTGTTAATAGAGAAATGAACAAATTCAGGTTATCTGGCCATAAAGCATGAATCCTTAACCAACACTCATTAATATGGAACCAATCTCTGTTCTCGCCTTCTGGAAAAGCAATATCCATCCAAGAGGAAGGAGATGGGGCCTATTGGTTAATCCCTGGCCTCTTAGCAGGTGGCGGGAAGGGCACACCATGGGACGCCACCTGTATGGCCGAAGCAAGGGGGAGCAGTGCTGCTGTCAGCAGTCGCTCCAGTCGCATCTCACTGCCTTTGAGTTTATAAAACGTTGATAGGGCTTTATCTTTACATGGACATGTACAAATGGGGTGTGTCTCTCATACACAGAGTTGCCAAGCCTTTTGGAACCCACCCCTTGGGCCCCTGCAATGCTTGTGTCAAGTAACTGAGAATTTGTGCTTAGGAATATGATCCTGGGGGAAACCTGCTCAATGGCCAGGATGCTAGGAGGCTGTGCGGGAGTGGGGAAAAGTTATATTTGGAATTGGAAGACCTGGCTGAGAGTAAAGGTTCGGTACCTGTTGAATTAACCAGTTCACCTTGTCCAACTTCAGTATTTGCATGTGTAACAGAGAAAGGAAGATGTGTGAAGACTGAACAAAGACAAAGTAAAGGGACATCCTTTCCAAGTGTCCTTATATATGAAATCTGGGTTAATATAAAGAACCGTCTAAACTTTCGATACAGTGACCAACACACAGTAGGCACACAATTAATAATAAAGAGCCACAGAATAAACGATAAGGAGGATAGTGATTAACAACACCAACAACAAAGGACGCCCCACCCAGTATTCCAAAATAGGATATAGAGCTTCTAGGTGGGGCTGTCAGAAAAGGTATTAGTCACCAAGCATGTTTTGCCAGTTTCTGTTCACTCTGAAACAAGTCTCCGATGCACTCCAGTTTCCTGATTCATCCAAGGCTGTGTAACCTGCCACAGGGAACAAATAACCTTGGAATATTTGCTTCTTCCCATGCATTTCTTTACTGCTCAACAGAGGATGGGTAGAAGAGGTAGCTGTGGAATGCCATCCTCCCCATTCAGAAGGAAAAAGACAATCTTGATGACATTTATCCCTCTGGGACAGAATAAAATTTATCGATTGTTTAACTATAATTCAGGTTGAAATTCAACTGGGCATCCTGGGGGAAATAACTGACAAAGTACCATTTCTAAAAAGTGAATAATTAAATAATAGGGACCAAATTAGGGGGAAAAAAAACCAAAAGCAGAAGTTTCTGTCCTTCCACCTGCCTCTGAGAAGCCTTTCCTTCTGGGAAGCTAGAAACATGTTGGTTTTGGAAGTAAGACTCTCAGGGTCTGCAGAGAGAAATGCCACGCATCTGAGTGCATCACCACTTTGAGATACTCATTATTCCTTAGTCCTATGGTCACTGCATACGATACAGAAATGAATCTGAATTTCAGGCACTGAATAGTGTTTTAGTACAATTATGTCCCCAATTCCATGCTTGCCATCAAAGCAGAGCAGAAGTATTCCACACTTACACTAAAACAAGATTCACTGTCTATTTATCTAAAATTCAAGCTGAACAGTGCATCCTGCATTTTTGTTTGATTAATCAAGCCACCATCCACCTACTCCAGGCCCCCTGGAGCTTCAACTGTCAAACAGTTATCATCCCATGAAATCACTGCTTTTTAAAGTTTACCAGGGCCATAGATATAGCTCAGTGGGCCAGGGGTGTCGTTCAGTGGCACCGCGCCTGTCTGACAAGTGCAAGGTCCTGAGTACTGGGGATCAAACTCAGGACCTTGTGCTTGCGAGACAGGCGCAAAGCCACTGAGCTACATTCCCTGCCCACAATCAAATTCTTGTAAAGAAAAGTCACACCGAGTTGTAAATCACCTGTCAGATGCACTTCATGTCAATAAGCCTTGTTTATCTTGTCCGAGGTTTGCAACTATAACATTACCATTCAAGGGGACTTAAATTTAAAACCTTAAGATTAGTTAAAAGGGAAAAATTGACCATTAATTGAGAAAACTTCAGCTGGTGGAAACACTGGTGATTTGTACATTAGTGACAATGTAATAATATGTTGTTGAATTTTGGTGTTCTTGCTTTTAAAACTGTGAGCTGTATGGAACACACAGTTGTCAAACCTCAGCAGACTTCACAAATAGGCACTAAAATGAAAAATTGACTAATGCCACCATACAGAGCTTCTGCACAGGAAAGGAAACAATCAGTTGAGTGAAGAAACAACCTACAGAATAGCAGAATACATTTGCAACACATTGGATTAAGGGTAAGTATCCAAAATGTATAAGGAACTCCAAGGACTCAATAGCAAAAAAGACCCCAAAACCTCTAATCATTAGGGGAATGGAAATCAAAACTTCTACCTCACTTTAGTTAGAGTGGGTATTACCAAAAAGATAAAAGATGACAAGTATTGGTGAGGATGTATAAGAAAGGGAATCTTTTTTCTTTTCCTTTTTTTTTTTGCAGTGTTGGGGACCTAACTCAGGGCCTGCACATGCTAGGCAAATGTTCTACCACTGAGCTTCATCCTCAGCCTGGAAAGGGAACTTTTCTTTATTGTTAGCGGGAATGTAAATTAGTATAGCCATTATAGAAAATAATAGGAAGTTTTCTAATAAAAATTAAAAACAGAACTATCTTATGTGATCCTGAAACCCCACAACTGGGTTTATATCCAAAGGAAGTGAAATTAGTATTTCAGAGGCATCTGAACTCCATTTTTATTGCAGTCCTATTCACAACTGTGAATGGAAACAATCTAAGTGTTCATTCACTAGAAGATTAATAGATACATAAAATGAGATATATATGTTCAATGAAACACTGTATTCAGCTGTAGAAAGGGATAAAATCCAATCATTTATTCCTGGAACATGGATGACTTTGGAAACGTTGTATTAAGTGAAATAATTTGGGCATAGGAAGATGAACCCTGTACAATCTCAGTCATACATGGAAACTAAAAATGCTGATCTAATAGGAGTATACAACAGTGGTTACCAAAGGCTGGAAGGTGGAGGGTGGCAATCAATACTGGTGATACAATTAAATATGTACTGGCTTACTACTGTACAGTAGGGTGTCTATTGTTAACAGTAATATATATTTCAAATAGGCAGAAGAAAGGATTCTGGATGGTCTCACCACACACACAAAAAATGATAGATATTTTAAGCCAATGGCTATGCTACTTATCCAGACTTGATCATTATATATGTATTACACTGCATCCCATAAGTATATAGACTTACTATGTGTCAATCTAAAGTGAAACTTAACAAAAAAATCAATAGGGTAAATGGTCTGCAGAGCCAGGAGGAACATTTACATAACATGGTGATTAAAGTCAATGTATCTGTTGCCTGCCAACAAGCACTTTCCCCAACCTAACCACCCTTTTCACACCTACACATTCTTGCTTCACTGGCAGACGAACCTACTACAGTTATAGGATAGTGGAGTTGTCTCAAAAGATTGACTTCTCCCTCACCTGTGGGGTTATAGTTTGGGTCCCTGTTATCCTCACTGAACTACCGCAGTGCCTTAACTAGTTCCCCTGTGTCTACGGTCTATTCTAGTACTTCTCAGCCCTGACTGCACACTGGAATTATTAGGAGAGGTTTTGTTGTGCTGGGGTTGGAATTCAGAGCTTCACATATGCTAGGCAAGTGCTCTACCACTGAGTTACACCTCTAGAACATTAGGAAAGAATATTAAAAAAATAAAAGCCAGAGCCTGGCTCTCAGTCCAGCCAACTTGGTCAGCATCTCTGGTGGTATCATCCAGATGTGAACCTCTCAGGAGATCTGAGTGTAAAGAGAAGCACTGTTCTATGCTTGCAGGTTCATTTCAATAATGCAAAACTGGTTATGTTGGGTTCTTGCTGAGCAATAAACAAGTCATCAATACTTCTCTTGTGTCTATTAAAGAAGGGCCCAAGTTTTCAACTTACCTTGAAGAGCCTCAAAACCTACCCTTCCCCTGTCTCTACTAACCTCTCCCCACCCAGGACTTTTGCGCTCCTCAAAATGGTCCATCTGCTAGTCTCCAAATGTCCCCACCTCGGCCCCTATCCGGATGGATGGCCTCCTCCATGCCCTATGAGTTGCAGCCAAGCTGGCCACTGCCAGTTGTCTCTTCCTCCCTCCAGGGAGGTAATCTCTTCCTACAAATCTACAGGGACTCAACTCTACCTGTCCTGCACATGGCGTTTCAGACATGTATTTTATTTCTCTCCTCTCCTGTCTAAAGTTAAACAGCACTTGGGTCTCACAGAAGTCTAGGCCAGAGCATCCCTCACAGCAAGTGCTCATATTTCCGGAACTCTTTTGCAGGAAGCTTATAAAATTTGAAGTGGTGATTTAGAAACCACGATGTCTAACCAGCAAAGTTTCCACTGTAACTAAATAGGAGATGTTGCCTTTGTGGCTTCAGGAATTCCTGGTGAACAGATAAATAAGGAAGTGATATAAGAACAGCAGCTATCACAAGAGGCTTTTAGGCAGCGCCAAGATAAACCGGCTGAAGAGCTCCTCCAACTATGCGGGAGAAGGAAGGAGGGCAACTTTATTAAAGAAGGGACTGTTTCGGGCCACAGAGCTAAGCAGCACCAATGACCTGAAATAAATCTTTATAATTAAAGTCTCAATGCATAAATAATAGTTTTGTTTTCAAGTGAAAGTACTCAGCTCACCCTTGAGTAATTGCAAAACATCCTCCATCCAACCGAGGCAGAGGAACTTCCTAAGCAGCAAAGGCCTACAAACTTTTGAGGAAGTACAAGGATGGGTTAACTAGATGCAGAACCAAAAGCAATCAAAAGTTTTTCCCCTCCACAGGGTGACGGCCTTCCTGGGACTCTGTATGGCCTGCGTCCTGGGCAGCTGCCTCCACCCCAGCCTGGGGACCGAGGGGAGAGGCTCCCGGGCGGCCCTAGCCCACCTACCTGAGCGCCAGCAGCCTCTCGCCCAGGAGCGCCACTGCGATCCCCAGCAAGCCCAGCGTCACCAGCCGCCCCATGGCGACACAGGCCGCTGACTCGCAGGGCCCAGCACGGCGCGAGGGGGAAGAACCAGCTCCCCGCCCGCCCTTCCCGCAGGCTGAGCCCCGCCCCTGCCCCGCCTGGACTCGGGGGCGGAGCTCCGCCCAGGGTCTGGCCTGGCCTGGCCTCTGTTCCTACAGTCCCAGGTCCTCAGACACCTTCCCTGGGTGTCACAACAGACTACCCCGCCCTAGTCCTTTTCCAGGTCACCCACACAGACCTCAGGCGTCCGCAAACCTTTCTCCTTGCCTTATTCTTCGAAGACTTTGCAGCAAGAAACTTCTAAGGCCTTAAAGATCCTTTTTTATTAGGGAAAACCTGTACGTAGACCTGGCTTGTAAATATTTCAGGTTGGAGTCACTACTTTTTATAACAGGTTGTAGCTAGGAGAGGGGAAAAATCTGGTTTCTAGTAAGACTTCATCTAGATTAGAAACCTAAGAACTCAGACACTTTTATTTGTTCCTTACCTAAGTTCAACTTACGGGAATAAGAGTAGATTTTCTTTTTCTGTGTTTAATATTTTCTTTTTATACTCATAACATAAAGGGATAATGAATAATATAATAAGGAAACTTTCCAATTATGATCGAGACAAATAGACTAAGTATGTCTGAAATAAATTTCTAATGGTTTTCGAGGTTTTAATTGCCACCCTGTAACATGTAGGCAGAAATAGTTAAAATTTGCCAATTTTAACAAAGATCAGTTTTATAAACAGCCATTAAATAAAAGCAGATGCCAGTTTCTCACCTGTCCCTCATGAAAAAGAAAAAGGTGAAGAAAAAGACTGCTCTGTTTCTATAGCCCTCCGCTCAGCCCCAGGGGCTACCAGATTATCCTGGGTGGTAGATGGAAAGTTAAATACTTGTCTTTGAAAAACGGACAAGTCATAGACCCCTGTGGCAGTGGTGGACCTTTGCGTAGTAATATTTATAAGTGCATACAATAAAATGCTCAAGATTGCAAAGGAAACCAATTACACTGGAATGCAATAAGCGTAGCATTTTAAAAACAAGTTCGTGCTATAGTAATATAGTAATGTCATTATGCTACGTTATTTAATACATCAAATAACAAATCTGCCAATATTCTTTCAAATGATGAGTGTAAATGTTATTTCACTACACCTGTAATAACTGTAATGAAATAGTGAAGCTATTATTTCCATAGTAGCATGATTACAAGTACTGCCAGTGCTTCTGAAGTTTATTTTCTACTTTTGTAATCAAAGGACATGCTAAATTTCAGTTGAAGGAAATGCTAAATTGCTCTAGAAATCTAGTGTTTTTCTCATCCATGATCATTTGGACCTCTGAATATTTATTTATTTATTTATTTATTTATTTATTTTTATTTTTTTGGCAGTGCTGAGGATTGAATCCAGGACCTTGAACCTGGTAGGCATACTTTACCACTGTGCTACACCTCCAGCCCCTTCTACACTATTAAGGAACCACTTGGCTTAAGAATTCTAACACAGGATAAGGCTGTGACTATACAATGGGCATAGGATCCCCTCATCTGTGGTATTAATCCGAAAGGAGGGGAAAAGCCTCAACAAGGCAAACAGAAGTTAGAAGGAGGATCTAAACTGGAAGGTCTGGGCCTAATACCTGGGTTTCTTGCTTAAGTTTGAGAATCTTTTCCAAGGAATCCTTCAGAGTGGGAAGGACATACATAAAACTGCCTTATGGACTCTGGGTCAAAAAGCATGTGCCACAAAATGAAAGAAAAAACAAACAAAAAACCAAACAGATTATAAAGTCATAATAAGATTACCTACTTGGATGCTATTCTTAATGTCTATCTTCCTCTTACTATTCCCAAACTTAAAAAAAAAGTCATGTTCATAATTTAGCCTTTCAGCTGAGATGAAAGAGTTGGAGGTCTGCATCTTTTAGGCTGGAGTCAAGAGAGCCAATAACCCGGTCTTGTCCTGGCTTCCCCTTCTCCCCTTACCCTGCAGACATCCCTAATGAGTTCCGTCAGTGGTTTTCACCAAGCCCAGAACTTCCCTCACAGTCTTTCTGAACAGCCACAGGGAAGTGGTAATCCTGAGCTAGCCAACAGATCTCAGTTCAGGATGACACCTGTTTGCTTCTCGGTGTTGGGTGCCCAATGCTCTGGAGTTTAGCCTGGAACAGATTCAGGTACGGCCAGATCAACCTCACCACACTCTCAGAGAATATTAGAGAAAGCATGTCCATTCAGTTAACACGCACAGTGAGCCCCCATACTGTGTGTGAGACGTAATGTACTCCCACACCCTTCCGCATTCCGAATGTTGCTATTGAAACAACTTCTGCAGAACTTTCCACCCTTATCTCTGTCTTATTACCTTACATGCACAAACCAAGAATCATTGTTCTCATAAGAGATTTTCCGATCTGGAAATCAGAAATCTATCTGTCTTGTCCGTTGAAAGAATGTTGCACTGATTACTAAATGTTACCATAGAGCTATACTTTTCAGATGACTGGGATTTATAGGGAACACCAAGAATATTTACGATGTTACAGAGAGAAAGTGGTAACCAAGTTACTCAATACAAAACACACTTGTTCTGCAGCCTGTTTGTGTATTGACAATTCCTTACACTTGGTATCAAACAGTGTTTCTCAAATAATGACTTGTGACGGGTTTATAATTAGAAATTTGTAGTTCTTCAGAAAAATTTCAAACTTAACAATACCTTTTATCAGTGCTTTTCAAACTATATTTACCAAAGGACAGGTTTTTCTTTGTCTTTATAAAATACAATGAAAATGAATTGTTGGGAAAATAAAGTAAAATACCAGACATACAAAACACAAGCCCAAATCTTTTATTATTTGATTCAACAGACATGAAATTACTCTGTCACATTTCTGTAGCCATTTCTAAATGCTTACTCTCAATTTTTTATACTTATTTCACTATGGACTCAGTTCACACTTGCACACTGAGAACAGCCCTTAATGAATGTTACCTTTCATGACCACATTCTTAATTCCTTCAAATTCTATGCAGAGTGCTGTCCCATGTCATATTTATGGTAGTAAATACATTTTTAATTTTATGGTAGTTATATATTTTTAAATATCTATATTCCACAAATTAACAGGTTGAATCAGGTGACTCACAATTACTATTATTCTTTATATGTGACAGGGAGTTGAGTCTTCTAATTCTTTATATGTGACAGGGAGTTGAGTCTTCTATATCCCTTGTATTCTTTCTCTTCTTTAATCCTATTTCAAGAATTGGGACAGATCAAAAAAAAAAAAAGAATTGGGACCAATCTTTTAACAAAAATGCTTTGAAGAGATATTACAAAAGATCATTATTATCAGCAAGGGCAGGACATGCCTCATTCCAAAGCTACTTGAAAAATAAAGGAGACCTTCCACCACCCAGACTGGTTTCTTAAAAGTTCTATGTATTAAAAAATGAAGAGCACTCAGGAGGCTGAGGCATGAGGATCATGAGTTTGGGGCCAGCCTGGGCTATGTAATGAGGTCTTTTCTCCAGAAAACACAAACACACACACACACCTAAAACTGGTGAAGAAATGTCATAACAGGAATGTGAAGATGGCAGTAATATATTTTTAAATATATTCAAATGTTCGGTTAAAATATGAACTTGTGGTTTGTGGAAGTCAAAACCATACATAAATATAAGTACAGCATAGTATGCTAGTCAAGATAGAATTATGTTTTTTAAATGATAGTAATTCTTGGCCTACTGTAGGTGGAGTGGCCCAATTATAGAAGCTAAGTTTAAAATGAATGTGTGCTTTCAAGTGCATGAAAGTATCAATTGTGAGATAATATTGAAAATCAACATTTAAGACTTGTTCTGAAATTGAAGTCTAGGCCAGATGGCGCAGCTGGCCCATGAGAACCAAGCCTATTTCTTCAGAGGACTGTAAGCTTTGCTGCTTCTCTTCCAGAAGCCATTGGACCCAAGGTGGAAAGGATAGCAGGTGTTGACCACACTGGGAAGAGACAAGGTAGAGGATAGAAAGCATCAGATTCCCCAGTCTCCAGCTGAGGCTGACTTTGGATGGCTTGAACTTCTATGGAAAAAACAAAGACGTATTTTTCCTCATTCTAGGAAGCATACACACATTTTCTATTGTCCAGAGCAACATTTTTCATGGTGATTAATTCATGAACAAGGTAGGTACACAACCCCTTAACAAATAAGACTCATTGAAGGGCTCAGCAGAAGTAATAACCGTAGCTATTTATTGAATACTTCCTGTTGCACCCACTATCCCATTTATCCATTGGAATCAGATGCTATTATTATCCCTGATTTATAAGCTATGAAACTGAGGCAAGAGATTAACAATGCTGCCCAGGGCTACACACCTGGAAAATGGTAGAACCAAGATCCAATATGAGAAATTTTATATTCAAACCCCATCCCCACCCTTGTTATATCTTTTGTTTATTGTCAAATAAAAAGATTTCTATTCTTTTGCTACCTATGGTAATAGCAGAGATGGATAAGCTAGTGGTCAGGTCTATAGAAAGTGATTTCATGCCAACTTATGCAAGAGAAATTTTAAAACTAGGTTGCTTTTTATACTTTTTCTCTGCCTACCTGCACAAATTCACTTAATGTCATGTTCTGTGTCTCCAAGCAGTTACTGGGAATTCAAAGATAAAGGAGATGGACTTTTCCCTGCCTCCATGGTAGTCAGAGTCTACTGAGAGAGAGACAGCTGGACAGACATGCATGGCTGTATGTCAGAGTCAAATAACTTTGATCTTTATTGTAAGTACGATGTAAGGGCACTAAAGAAAGAGAAAAAACATTTCGTGTTTTTCAAAGGCCAATCTGATGCTATGGGAAGGATATGGGAAATCTATTTGAGAGAAGATGGGATGTGCATAAGCAGAGGCAGTGGGGAGGGGGAAAAATAAAGGAGATTTAAGGAATTTCAGGGGTTGAATGGATAGAAATGGGTGGCCAGCAATACGGAGGGGGAGGTTGAAGATGACTGGAGTTGTGCAAGCAATGGGGCTCACTAACTGGGAGAGGGAAGGAGCCGGGATGGTGACGAGGACTG